TAACTACCGTAATCCTATTAGTTCAGACTTGTTTCACCTGCGGATTTAACCACTAAAGATCTCCTGAACACTTTACGTTGTTACTAACTGTAACTTGGCGGCGAAGCCGGCGCCGCCCGGTTAACTAGAAACTGCCTAACCCCCAGTAATCCAGTTGCCAGCCGTAGCGGTGGTTATACCATCGCAATACCTAACGGCTCGAGATCCAAACCGCTAAACTATGTAGCATAGTTACTATGCTCCTATGATTGAGGAACTTGTCAACTCCGATTTCAAGTAACCACTGAATTTGAAAATGATGCTAAACCAGATGTTGCCCACGCCGCGCAATATATCCATTTAAACGCATTTCCATTTAATAGCGGGTAAAAACTCAGCCATATAATGCAATATCGGAGCCCGCTTAAACCTTTATTGACTTAGAGTTAGACGGAAAGCATATCGAGAACAGTGATCGAATAATGGAGGTACCGAGATAAATAGCACATGCCGCGATTTCCTTTTAATTTTGGATTTTCAGCAGATATTAATTTAAGGGGTCGTTCACATATTACGTAATCAGCCGAGGGGGGAGGGGGTTTCCAAATGCTTACGGTTGATTACGGGGTGGAGGGGTTTCAGCCGTTGATTACGTAATCAAAATTGACAATATTTTAATTCAAAATCCACTCAATTTCACTCTGATTATAGTGATAAAATTTAGAAATTTATCGAATATCCGACTATAATAGTAAGTAATTCAGAAGGTGCTTGGCTGGATATTATAACAATGATTTCGGCTCATCATGATAGTATGATCAGGGTAACATGAAACGTAGAGAAAAGTGTTTTCTAGGAAAAAAGTCAAGGGGGGAGGGGGGTTCAGGCCATGGTTACGTAATATTGCTGTCAGGAGGGGGGGAGGGTGGGGGTTGGGTCTTGATTAGGCCTAGGGTTGATTACGGAAGGGGGGAGGGGGTAAAAATTGCTAAAATATTGATTACGTAATATGTGAACGACCCCTAACCTATGATTTTCAGCAGACATTAACCTATGATTTTCAGTAGACATTAACCTAGGATTTCAGCAGACATTAACGGTCGCAATAGTTGAAATGATCTCACTATACTAGGGGTGCATAATATCCCACAGTTAAGGATTAAAAGTTGAAGGCTCGGAGATGAAGATTATGCCAGTATTATATTGGTATTATAAATGACCATTTTAAAGGAATTTTGATGGAGACTACCAGCTTGTAGTTGTATATTTGAGAATTAAATTGACTATAATGCGGCTGGTTTCGACTGGGCATGAAGTTCATGCTTTTGCAATTCAACTGCGATATAAGTGAAGTCCCGGCCGAAGGCACGGGTTACACTAGTATTAGTATTATATAATCAAGAAAGAATTCCTCTCGTCGGAGTGGAATTTAGCCTCAAATCGGTCATCGGTGATCATTTTCTAAACCGGAGATTTCCGCAAGTAAGTATGTATAACTATAGGCCTGTTAATGTGCACCGAATTTCATAATCTTCCCTTTTCGTAAACGTGACCGTCTGTAACTGTAAGTGACAATCTGTAAAACTAAAGGTCCGATCAAAATCACAAAATAAAATCACTACATAATATACCTTATTATCATGCATTGCTTATTGCTGTAATAAATACGTCCTAAAAAGTGCTGTTTTAGCTGATATCAGCACACAATATACTGTAAACAACAACAACCTTATAGTTATACTATTAGTAGAGAGTCAAACTGAATACGGCCTATGGACTAGTGCCTAGTGGACTACGTAGCAGTAATGAAATTTTAAAGGAAGGTCTATCATCCGCTTATAGTTTACATATTGAATAATATTAATTGTTTTACCATTAATTTCCGCCAGATTCACAATTTGTGAAAGCCATCAAGGGTAAGGTTTTCCTCGAGATGTTGAGATAAAGTAAGTGTGTGGGTACCAAACCCATTTCCTGCACTATAATGCACAATAATATAACCTTAATCTGAAGGACAGAGCATTTAACTTTGTAATAATGTATTTATCGAGGTGCATCCGGGTAAGATCATGGAGCAGATCTTGCCATTGAGTGGTCAGACAACCTTAATGATGGGATAGAACAGTTCCGGGAAAATCCACGAGTCTAGACATCACAAGATCATTCCAGCAAGATGAATAGCCATTGAAATTAACAATTATGAATTATAATCAGCTGTTATTGCTGTCTGATTATTGCAACAGTGAAAACAAATTGTTTGAATAATTGCTTTGCATTACATAATTGGTACCAATACTATTGATAAACAGTCGCGAAAACACCCTTACCTGTGAAATTTGACTAGTATATTAACATGACTATCACAGTGCTGGCAAGCACAACCGTCGCCCTTATATTCACTATACTATTTACCCCCTATACTATTTAACTATTATACCCCCTTTACTGATTTTTCAGGCATTAAGATTCACCGAAAGTAGTTCAGCAGTCATATTTTAAGTTCAAAAAATTCTAATTCAATGTCAAAGATGACAGGAATAAAAAATAGTCATGTGGAGGTTTTTAAGAAATTTGCGGGAAATACGCGCACTGTTACTGTTAGTGTTATACGAAATTCGGTAAAAACCCAAAATCACCATATAAGGTGTCTTAAAAACCATGCCATATAAGGTGTCTTAAAAACCATGCCAAAATAGAGTTAGGGATCTGAAATTTTGCAGGGCGTCTAGACGTTAATTAACGATGTCAATTCTTCGTAGCTGGGCGAGGCCCAGTACTCAAGTACAAAGTAGCGCATCCTATCTAACATCGCGCTACAAGTCCAAAGTCTAGACATCGCGTTGACCAAATCGACTGCAAAAAAGTTTCAAATTTCAGCTGAGTATCACTATCAGGAAGGGCGTTTTCTGGAACCCCTGTTTTCACAGATTGTCGTGATATTCATATACTATTACTTCAACTTGACAGTTGACACACGCTACATGCAACCCCTTTAGATCGCATGCACGCTAAGCCTAAAGAGGTATACAACATGTAGCAATGATATACACATATATTATAATTATATACGTACATTTGACCAAAACCCATAATCATGGGTAGAGTGGACCGCTGCCAGTGTCTCTCTTTCCCAAACAAAAAGAAATGATATTAATTTGAATAACCGTCCGCAAATGCAAAATGATACCGAGAAAAGCGAGCGACGTTCTACGATTTCTATTTAAAGAATATTGAATAAAACAGTCCTTGTATCATGTATTTGTAAAACATAGTATGTAGTAACATAACAGTAATCTGACATATAGTTTATTGAGTATGACGATCACAATCAACACTGAATAATTCGCCAATTTTAACCACTTCAAGATTTAATTTTTAGGGCTGTTAAATTCGCCAAGAAATGCGCAGAAAATTCGGCAAAAAAAATTCGTTACAAAAACTTACAAATCTGGACAAGTAGACTGTGGAGGAAATTAAGTGATTTCAAGTTTATTACTCAATGCCTTCCGGTATGAGCTAAATTTAACCCCTTGCGATCTTGGTCAGTACCTACGCTAGTCGCTAACCTGAACCAGTAACCACGCACTTGTATTGCGGGAAGCACATGTTTTGGCAATATTCCACCATACAAAACCAACTATAAACTGTCGTGAAACAACTACTGTATTTTTTTTAAATGCGGCAATTTTCAGAGAAAAATCCGTATGCAGTATGCGAATTTGATTCGAAATCGAATAATACGTGTAGTGCGAATTTCACAGCATTGGTTTAAAATATTTCCATCGCGTTAGATAATACTCAATATGCAATAAATGTATTTAATTGTAGTTGTGAAAATAGTTTAAATAGTCTATGTGCAATGACTCTTAGTATTCTAAAATGACGATAATAGATACAATTACATATCCTTTTTCTCATTTCTGCAACCTTGCTAAAAGGTAAACTCGCGAGTATTCAACTCCATTTGCGAGCTAAATTTGGTAAATTATTTTGTTTGACATTTTTACGTCACAATCCTTATCTTATTACCATTGGTTCGCATTTTGTTTCTTTGTTTTCGACCATTATTATAGTTCACAGAATGATCCGATTTTGGTGGACTGACAAAAATCTTTGGTATTAATCTGATCATCTAATTAAGGCTAAAGAGGCCAGTAACATCATCTCAAATAGCCGTACATGGAGCAGTGAGAACCCTGAGAGGATCCCTAAACTCCAAGTGGTGACCAGGCGAGCCCCTAACTTAAAGGACACTTTATTCAAGAGAAAGAAGCTTGCCTTAGGTTCAGAGTCAAGAACAACTGACCCATGCACCAAACCTGGTGAGAAGAAGAAAGGCAGACCCTGCCAAACTTGTCACCTTGTTAGTGGCAATTCCATGGTCTCCAATAATGGACACTCAGTCAGAACTCAAGGTGGTAACTGTAAGACACGCAACATTGTGTACGGCGCGACGTGCAAACTTTGTACTGTTAATAACGTATTCGTGGGAAATACAGTCACCAGCCTCAGCCAACGTGTGAATGGTCATCGCAGTAAATATTATGAGATTTTAGAGCCGAGTAGTAAGGGGAATGTTGAGAGCCACAGAGATTTTGATGACGAGAATGTTTTAGGGGCACATCTTTTTTCAGTTCATAATTTGAGGGAGAGATCTGATTTCAATGAAAGTTTCCATTTTGATATTTTGTGTTCTACATCCCCAGATAATATTAGAAAGTCAGAACAGTTTTATATTAACAAATTGAAGACACTTTATCCGTTTGGCCTGAACAATGTGAATTCCGTTTCTGGAAGCTAATTTTTCATGGTGTCCCGAATTTTATTTTTGAATCGTTCAAATTTTCATACTAACCATTGATATTCTCAGATTATGTGACTGATTAAATGCTGAAGATAAAAGAAATATATTCATTTTGCTAAGATTATGTTTGCGTTTCATTGCTCAACAGCTGTTCGAAGGATCAAATTTAAGATTATCATCTAATTACTATCTAATTAAAATTAAAACAATTACTGGATATTCGCAACAATGTGTCATGAAAAATCAGTCAAAAATCTAAATCATCCCAACAATATCGCCTAATTTAAACATTAACTTATCATTATTGAATATTAGTAAAATATATGATAGTGATAACTAACTTTAAGCTTAACTACCTTACATCACCAAATGAGAATAGTCATAAAGTCATTACACTAGACAATTCTATATGGATCTCATGGAATGGTACTTATACCTTACTAAAGACCGGCGAAAATGACAGAAACTATTTAACCATTACTATTAGGGGTCGTTAAAATATTACATAATCACTGAGAGGGGTCAGGGGTGGGGTTCTAAATTATTACGCAAGTGTATTTTATCACAATAGCCATATTGTGTAAAACTGATTACAGAGGGGGGATTCCAAAATTGTCCAAACGTAATATTTGAACGATCCCCTATCACAGCTAAGGGCGAGGATTTTTCTTTAAACGAATAAAGCAAGGAAATTTCATCTTTTCTGAGGAAAGCTGCAACAAATCCAACTAATAACACTACAAAAGAAAAGTACGGCACAGGATGGAGGGTTTATTTGTCATGTTCTTTTTGAATTACAGTAGAAAAGTGAAGAAAATAGTAGTAATACGTTACCATGCAAATAGTATTAGAAATTACTAATTAGTTACCGCGTAAATATGAACCGTAAAAATAGCAAATATATCTACAAATAATGGGCAGGGATGACAGGAAAATAAATAACATTCTCATCTAATAACGCTTCTAATAACGCTTCTAATAACGCTTTATCATTTTCACTGAGTGCTGTCCAATAAATCATACACAAGACAGAATGGTGAAATTTATAAGTTTTTTTCGTTTCTGTACAACGTTACAATAACTTCTTGATAGTGACGTCATCATCTTGATAGTGACGTCATCAGCTTGATAGTGACTTCATCAGAAGACATGGAGGATAAAGCCCGGGTTAACTGGGCTGGAAGATAGAGTTAGTCCAGATTCCTGGAGATTACTTGTTCTTCTTAGCGGTGCCAAGATCTACTTTGTTCACCTGAGGAACAAACTTTTTAACTAATTTTGATAAAAACAATCAATCTTAGGGGGGGGGGGGGGGTCCACACAATCACTTAGTAGGACCTGATTAACTGATTGATGCTAAAAGGAAGTTAAGTTACATTAGGTGGCTGATATATCTAATCAATATTATGTGGACTGTGAAATTACAAGGCATGTGACATCACGTGTCTATAATTCACAAAGCGTGTGACGTCACGTGTTTATAGGTCAGCTGACTAACCTTGCTGGCGAAGCGGAGACTGGTGAGGGACTCGCTGGTGTGTTTGTCTAGCGGACTGACGTTAACAAACATGAGAGTCTTGCTGTTTCCCCCCAGACTGTTACACAGCAGGTAGGTAAGCTTACTGTTCCGGTACGGAATATGGGTCTTCTTCTCTTGCAGCGCCATCATCACGTTACCTGTCACGTGATATTGTACTGTCACGTGGTATCACGTTATACTTATCATAATATCACAAGATACAAATAATGTGGTGGTATACTGATGATGATGATTTCACTTACCAAGTTCGCTGAGTGATGTGTTTATAACTTACCAAGTTCGCTGAGTGATGTGTTTATAGCCTACTTACCAAGTTCGCTGAGTGATGTGTTAATACACTTACCAAGTTCGCTGAGTGATGTGTTTATACACTTACCAAGTTCGCTGAGTGATGTGTTTATACACTTACCAAGTTCGCTGAGTGATGTGTTTATACACTTACCAAGTTCGCTGAGTGATGTGTTTATACACTTACCAAGTTCGCTGAGTGATGTGTTTATACACTTACCAAGTTCGCTGAGTGATGTGTTTATAACTTACCAAGTTCGCTGAGTGATGTGTTTATAGCCTACTTACCAAGTTCGCTGAGTGATGTGTTTATACACTTACCAAGTTCGCTGAGTGATGTGTTTATAACTTACCAAGTTCGCTGAGTGATGTGTTTATAGCCTACTTACCAAGTTCGCTGAGTGATGTGTTTATACACTTACCAAGTTCGCTGAGTGATGTGTTTATAGCCTAGTTACCAAGTTCGCTGAGTGATGTGTTTATACACTTACCAAGTTCGCTGAGTGATGTGTTTATACACTTACCAAGTTCGCTGAGTGATGTGTTTATACACTTACCAAGTTCGCTGAGTGATGTGTTTATACACTTACCAAGTTCGCTGAGTGATGTGTTTATACACTTACCAAGTTCGCTGAGTGATGTGTTTATACACTTACCAAGTTCGCTGAGTGATGTGTTTATACACTTACCAAGTTCGCTGAGTGATGTGTTTATACACTTACCAAGTTCGCTGAGTGATGTGTTTATAGCCTACTTACCAAGTTCGCTGAGTGATGTGTTTATACACTTACCAAGTTCGCTGAGTGATGTGTTTATAGCCTACTTACCAAGTTCGCTGAGTGATGTGTTTATAACTTACCAAGTTCGCTGAGTGATGTGTTTATAGCCTACTTACCAAGTTCGCTGAGTGATGTGTTTATACACTTACCAAGTTCGCTGAGTGATGTGTTTATAGCCTAGTTACCAAGTTCGCTGAGTGATGTGTTTATACACTTACCAAGTTCGCTGAGTGATGTGTTTATACACTTACCAAGTTCGCTGAGTGATGTGTTTATACACTTACCAAGTTCGCTGAGTGATGTGTTTATACACTTACCAAGTTCGCTGAGTGATGTGTTTATACACTTACCAAGTTCGCTGAGTGATGTGTTTATACACTTACCAAGTTCGCTGAGTGATGTGTTTATACACTTACCAAGTTCGCTGAGTGATGTGTTTATACACTTACCAAGTTCGCTGAGTGATGTGTTTATAGCCTACTTACCAAGTTCGCTGAGTGATGTGTTTATACACTTACCAAGTTCGCTGAGTGATGTGTTTATAGCCTACTTACCAAGTTCGCTGAGTGATGTGTTTATACACTTACCAAGTTCGCTGAGTGATGTGTTTATAACTTACCAAGTTCGCTGAGTGATGTGTTTATACACTTACCAAGTTCGCTGAGTGATGTGTTTATACACTTACCAAGTTCGCTGAGTGATGTGTTTATACACTTACCAAGTTCGCTGAGTGATGTGTTTATACACTTACCAAGTTCGCTGAGTGATGTGTTTATAGCCTACTTACCAAGTTCGCTGAGTGATGTGTTTATACACTTACCAAGTTCGCTGAGTGATGTTTTTATAGCCTACTTACCAAGTTCGCTGAGTGATGTGTTTATAACTTACCAAGTTCGCTGAGTGATGTGTTTATAGCCTGAGCCTCTTTCAGTCGCTGACCAGTGCTCCCACTTTTCTCAACACGTTCTGAACCAGCTAAATCCACCAGATTTAGGTTACCCACACAGGTGTCACCTATACCAACAAATCAATTAGTTAATTAGCTATCAATTAAATCGTAATTTTTAAGGGTTTCAACGTTGTACCGGAGTTTCGGATATTTAATTATTGTAAACTATTGTTTAGCGAATTAATTAAGCTGGTTTACCATTTCCAACCTGGGGGTGCGTCAACCTCATAAATATACACAAATACCTATTTTGAAATCGGAGGGAATAATAGGTATTAATGAGGTTGATGCCCCCCCCCCCAACCTATCGTACCGTTTTTGGTGTTTTTCCCCTCAATTTTGAGTCTGAAGACGGAATGCGACCGTGAACTCCTCTCGTTACACTTTGTGGCAGCTACAGTTCGGTTCTTGTTGGCTTTCAGTAGCAACTCGTGTACCTACAAGTAACAGAGATATTATCTACCTACAAGTAACAGAGATAGTATCTACCTACAAGTAACAGAGATAGTATCTACCTACAAGTAACAGAGATAGTATCTACCTACAAGTAACAGAGATACTATCTACCTACAAGTAACAGAGACAGTATCTACCTACAAGTAACAGAGATAGTATCTACCTACAAGTAACAGAGACATTATCTACCTACAAGTAACAGAGATATTATCTACCTACAAGTAACAGAGATAGTATCTACCTACAAGTAACAGAGATAGTATCTACCTACAAGTAACAGAGATAGTATCTACCTACAAGTAACAGAGATAGTATCTACCTACAAGTAACAGAGATAGTATCTACCTACAAGTAACAGAGATATTATCTACCTACAAGTAACAGAGATAGTATCTACCTACAAGTAACAGAGATAGTATCTACCTACAAGTAACAGAGATATTATCTACCTACAAGTAACAGAGATATTATCTACCTACAAGTAACAGAGATAGTATCTACCTACAAGTAACAGAGATAGTATCTACCTACAAGTAACAGAGATAGTATCTACCTACAAGTAACAGAGATAGTATCTACCTACAAGTAACAGAGATAGTATCTACCTACAAGTAACAGAGATAGTATCTACCTACAAGTAACAGAGATATTATCTACCTACAAGTAACAGAGATAGTATCTACCTACAAGTAACAGAGATATTATCTACCTACAAGTAACAGAGATATTATCTACCTACAAGTAACAGAGATAGTATCTACCTACAAGTAACAGAGATAGTATCTACCTACAAGTAACAGAGATAATATCTACCTACAAGTAACAGAGATATTATCTACCTACAAGTAACAGAGATAGTATCTACCTACAAGTAACAGAGATATTATCTACCTACAAGTAACAGAGATAGTATCTACCTACAAGTAACAGAGATAATATCTACCTACAAGTAACAGAGATAGTATCTACCTACAAGTAACAGAGATAGTATCTACCTACAAGTAACAGAGATATTATCTACCTACAAGTAACAGAGATAGTATCTACCTACAAGTAACAGAGATACTATCTACCTACAAGTAACAGAGACAGTATCTACCTACAAGTAACAGAGATAGTATCTACCTACAAGTAACAGAGATATTATCTACCTACAAGTAACAGAGATATTATCTACCTACAAGTAACAGAGATAGTATCTACCTACAAGTAACAGAGATATTATCTACCTACAAGTAACAGAGATAGTATCTACCTACAAGTAACAGAGATAATATCTACCTACAAGTAACAGAGACAGTATCTACCTACAAGTAACAGAGATAGTATCTACCTACAAGTAACAGAGATATTATCTACCTACAAGTAACAGAGATATTATCTACCTACAAGTAACAGAGATAGTATCTACCTACAAGTAACAGAGATAGTATCTACCTACAAGTAACAGAGATATTATCTACCTACAAGTAACAGAGATAGTATCTACCTACAAGTAACAGAGATACTATCTACCTACAAGTAACAGAGACAGTATCTACCTACAAGTAACAGAGATAGTATCTACCTACAAGTAACAGAGATATTATCTACCTACAAGTAACAGAGATATTATCTACCTACAAGTAACAGAGATATTATCTACCTACAAGTAACAGAGATAGTATCTACCTACAAGTAACAGAGATAGTATCTACCTACAAGTAACAGAGATAGTATCTACCTACAAGTAACAGAGATAGTATCTACCTACAAGTAACAGAGATAGTATCTACCTACAAGTAACAGAGATAGTATCTACCTACAAGTAACAGAGATAGTATCTACCTACAAGTAACAGAGATAGTATCTACCTACAAGTAACAGAGATAGTATCTACCTACAAGTAACAGAGATAGTATCTACCTACAAGTAACAGAGATAGTATCTACCTACAAGTAACAGAGATATTATCTACCTACAAGTAACAGAGATACTATCTACCTACAAGTAACAGAGATAGTATCTACCTACAAGTAACAGAGATATTATCTACCTACAAGTAACAGAGATAGTATCTACCTACAAGTAACAGAGATATTATCTACCTACAAGTAACAGAGATACTATCTACCTACAAGTAACAGAGATAGTATCTACCTACAAGTAACAGAGATATTATCTACCTACAAGTAACAGAGATAGTATCTACCTACAAGTAACAGAGATAGTATCTACCTACAAGTAACAGAGATAGTATCTACCTACAAGTAACAGAGATAGTATCTACCTACAAGTAACAGAGATAGTATCTACCTACAAGTAACAGAGATAGTATCTACCTACAAGTAACAGAGATAGTATCTACCTACAAGTAACAGAGATAGTATCTACCTACAAGTAACAGAGATACTATCTACCTACAAGTAACAGAGATAGTATCTACCTACAAGTAACAGAGATAGTATCTACCTACAAGTAACAGAGATAGTATCTACCTACAAGTAACAGAGATAGTATCTACCTACAAGTAACAGAGATAATATCTACCTACAAGTAACAGAGATATTATCTACCTACAAGTAACAGAGATAGTATCTACCTACAAGTAACAGAGATAGTATCTACCTACAAGTAACAGAGATAGTATCTACCTACAAGTAACAGAGATAGTATCTACCTACAAGTAACAGAGATAGTATCTACCTACAAGTAACAGAGATAGTATCTACCTACAAGTAACAGAGATATTATCTACCTACAAGTAACAGAGATAGTATCTACCTACAAGTAACAGAGATATTATCTACCTACAAGTAACAGAGATATTATCTACCTACAAGTAACAGAGATAGTATCTACCTACAAGTAACAGAGATAGTATCTACCTACAAATATCAGAGACAGTATATTAAAAGAGGATTTTATCGAAAGCCCTCCGGGCTCCGTCTTCTTCTGCTATGAACTAGTATTTATATTATCATACTTATAACACCATATATTATGGTAATACACTCCATAATACTCCAATTCGGAGCATATTTGAATTGTTTACACAATAGAGAAACGAGATAACAATTTGATAATTCTATCCTCGAATCAACAGTTTCATTGCATTATAAAATATCCTAGTTGACAGGAATTAAAACCACTTCTAACGTGACGTGTCTGGTCACGTGACGTGTCTGGTCACGTGACGTGTCTGGTCACGTGACGTGTTTGGTCACGTGACGTGTCTGGTCACGTGATACTCACATCATAACAGTTCTGTACAATAACAGACTTGACATTTGTAACTTCCACTTCACGCGTCTTCTCATTTACAAGCTTTATCACTATCTTCTGGTCGGTGCTGAAATAGAGTTAGTAGACACATTAAACAACTGCTAGTTGACATAAAACCGATGATTAATTTAAACAAGTTAAATTCATGATTAAGTTTACCAAATACAACCATCAGCTTAAAATGCTTTGCAATGTTGTGTTATGTTTACATTAGAATACCTGCAAATAAGATCGTGCAGGTTCTCGTTGTAGATCTCCAGAAAGGAAGCTGTAAACACATAGTCCCAGCCCTGGTCCGCCATCTCATCCCCAGTCTGGGTAATTATATAATTATTAGTGTTGAAGTGAGCAATAATATAATTATTACTGTTAAAGTGAGCAATAATATAATTATTACTGTTAAAGTGAGCAATAATATAATTATTACTGTTAAAGTGAGCAATAATATAATTATTACTGTTAAAGTGAGTAATAATATAATTATTACTGTTAAAGTGAGCAATAATATAATTATTACTGTTAAAGTGAGTAATAATATAATTATTACTGTTAAAGTGAGCAATAATATAATTATTACTGTTATAGTGAGCAATAATATAATTATTAGTGTTAAAGTGAGCAATAATATAATTATTACTGTTAAAGTGAGTAATAATATAATTATTACTGTTAAAGTGAGCAATAATATAATTATTACTGTTAAAGTGAGTAATAATATAATTATTACTGTTAAAGTGAGCAATAATATAATTATTACTGTTATAGTGAGCAATAATATAATTATTAGTGTTAAAGTGAGCAATAATATAATTATTACTGTTAAAGTGAGCAATAATATAATTATTACTGTTAAAGTGACACACTTCTCTTATCTCTATTCATTATTATACAAGTGGTATTAATAACAAAATAATATCAACCATACTTAACTTTTCAAGATTTATAAAATTTAGATAATATGATTCATGATACAAATCATTTAAAAGTATAAAGGTAGTGATGATAAGTAATATAAAGGTAGTGTAAAGTATAAAGGTAGTGATGATAACTGATAAGTACCTTGAAGACCTGCTCCATAGCTCGCGGGATAATGCCCCTGTACTCGCTGGACGGGTCAATAGGACCCTGCATAGTGTGGGTCTTTCCACTTCCTGAGTAGTGGTTTCAGTGTGAGGCTTATCTAACTTACATAATTTATCTAACTTACATAATTTATCTAACTTACATAATTTATCTAACTTACATAATTTATCTAACTTACATAATTTATCTAACTTACATAATTTATCTAACTTACATAATTTATCTAACTTACATAATTTATCTAACTTACATAATTTATCTAACTTACATAATTTATCTAACTTACATAATTTATCTAACTTACATAATTTATTTAACTTACATAATTTCAGTGAGATTAAATGACGAATAATTCGGCAAAACGTGGAATTGTTAGTAACAATTATAAAGATATCAGGAACTAATAGTACCTAATTAGGAACTAATTAGTGACTACTTAATCAAATACAACTCAATTTATAACTGAGAACAAGGCAGGTGACCAGTTACCTGTTTGCCCGTAAGCGAATATACACACGTTGAACCCGTCAAGTGCAGATTGTACCAGCCCAGAGACCTCAGCGAAGGTATCTTCTTGGGTGTGGCGAGGTCTGAGGCAAATATTTAGTTTGGCGGTTTAATTCAAAGTTCGACAACCTGCCAAATATGGAGCGAGAATTAAAACGTTAATAAAGTTAAATATATACACGTGCTGTCATGCTAGGATATCAGTCGGAAGGCGAGGGGAGATGGCTATTTAATATTTGTATTATATAACGTGTCTTATATTTAATATTTGTATTATATAACGTGTCTTATATTTAACATTTGTATTATATAACGTGTCTTATATTTGTTAGAGCTTTCGCTGACGTTGAGGTGGAAAAACAAGCCAATATCGAATTTTGTAGCCACAATCGCCCCGGAATAAAGCAGTAAAGGATCACAAGATAGTTAAGTTTTTAACGGCCAGGTAGCGTAGTTGGTTAATCATCGGATTTGTAATCGTGAGATTGCGAGTTCGAAACCCACTGCCTGCCTAGTCGTGGGGTGAGTGTCGTCGACATTCAGCTAAAGATCCTGAGTGGTCTATGCAGCCCCCCGGTCTACTCAGCCGAATATTCGAGAAATCGTGTGTGAGGGTTAAATGACTAAATGAGAAGCTGTCCATTGCAGCGAAGTCTCGGGCGAAGAAAGTATGGTACACACTACCTTAACCGTCACTGGCCTAATTAAATCCTTCGGCTTCCTGTAATTGGCTAGTTACACTTGTGTAACAATGTGGCTGTTGGAATACTCCGAAGTAAAATAAGTGTGAGATACAAAAAAAGTGTCATCAAACAAATGATACGACGTATTCCAGGGTGATCTGCTGAAGACTCAACTAGTTTCGGCCTTTGAGGGCCATCCACAGGAGTGTCACCTCAAATTATTTGTTATATAGTAGTGTTGAAAGTTTTAATACTTTCAACACTACTATATAACAAATAATTTGAGGTGACACTCCTGTGGGTGTCTTATATTTAATATTTGTATAATATAACGTGTCTTATATTTGATATTTGTATTATATAACGTGTCTTATATTTAATATTTGTATTATATAACGTGTCTTATATTTAATATTTGTATTATATAACGTGTCTTATATTTAATATGTGTATTATATAACGTGTCTTATAATTAATATTTGTATTATATAACGTGTCTTATATTTAATATTTGTAGTATATAACGTGTCTTATATTTAATATTTGCATAAATTAAACAACAACTAACCCAAACACGTGATCAAAGTTGAAGCTGTTGTTGAGTGTTTCTCCTTTTCTTCCCAACTTCTCAGCTTGCAAAGAAGACACAGTTATGTTGGTATTATCTTTACTGAACTCTATCTGGGGCACCTCGTGGGTCGGCTCTGTAAAGAAGACACAGTTATGTTGGTATTATCTTTACTAAACTCTATCTGCGGCACCTCGTGGGTCGGCTCTGTAAAGAAGACACAGTTATGTTGGTATTATCTTTACTAAACTCTATCTGGGGCACCTCGTGGGTCGGCTCTGAGAAAGAAGACACAGTTATGTTGGTATTATCTTTACTAAACTCTATCTGCGGCACCTCGTGGGTAGGCTCTGTAAAGAAGACACAGTTATGTTGGTATTATCTTTACTAAACTCTATCTGGGGCACCTCGTGGGTAGGCTCTGTAAAGAAGACACAGTTATGTTGGTATTATCTTTACTAAACTCTATCTGGGGCACCTCGTGGGTCGGCTCTGTAAAGAAGACACAGTTATGTTGGTATTATCTTTACTAAACTCTATCTGCGGCACCTCGTGGGTCGGCTCTGTAAAGAAGACACAGTTATGTTGGTATTATCTTTACTAAACTCTATCTGGGGCACCTCGTGGGTAGGCTCTGTAAAGAAGACACAGTTATGTTGGTATTATCTTTACTAAACTCTATCTGCGGCACCTCGTGGGTCGGCTCTGTAAAGAAGACACAGTTATGTTGGTATTATCTTTACTAAACTCTATCTGGGGCACCTCGTGGGTCGGCTCTGTAAAGAAGACACAGTTATGTTGGTATTATCTTTACTAAACTCTATCTGCGGCACCTCGTGGGTCGGCTCTGTAAAGAAGACACAGTTATGTTGGTATTATCTTTACTAAACTCTATCTGGGGCACCTCGTGGGTAGGCTCTGTAAAGAAAACACAGTTATGTTGGTATTATCTTTACTAAACTCTATCTGGGGCACCTCGTGGGTCGGCTCTGTAAAGAAGACACAGTTATGTTGGTATTATCTTTACTAAACTCTATCTGCGGCACCTCGTGGGTCGGCTCTGTAAAGAAGACACAGTTATGTTGGTATTATCTTTACTAAACTCTATCTGCGGCACCTCGTGGGTCGGCTCTGTAAAGAAGACACAGTTATGTTGGTATTATCTTTACTAAACTCTATCTGGGGCACCTCGTGGGTAGGCTCTGTAAAGAAAACACAGTTATGTTGGTATTATCTTTACTAAACTCTATCTGGGGCACCTCGTGGGTCGGCTCTGTAAAGAAGACACAGTTATGTTGGTATTATCTTTACTAAACTCTATCTGGGGCACCTCGTGTGTCGGCTCTGAGAAAGAAGACACAGTTATGTTGGTATTATCTTTACTGAACTCTATCTGGGGCACCTCGTGGGTCGGCTCTGAGAAAGAAGACACAGTTATGTTGGTATTATCTTTACTAAACTCTATCTGGGGCACCTCGTGGGTCGGCTCTGAGAGTAATTGCTAATTAATTGGATGGTAATTGCTAATTAATTTGATGGTAATTGCTAATTAATTGGATGGTAATTGCTAATTAATTGGATGGTAATTGCTAATTAATTGGATGGTAATTGCTAATTAATTTTATGGTAATTGCTAATTAATTGGATGGTAATTGCTAATTAATTGGATGGTAATTGCTAATTAATTGGATGGTAATTGCTACTTTATTATCATCCTGAGCGGCTCTAGAACGCACCTGTACACTAGTAACAACCGCGTTACAAGTTACAACACTTTTATAATGATATATAATTAAAACGTAAGTTTTATTGGCATTTTCATTATTATATATTTTAAAGTCACTATTGTGAGGATACATTAGAACTAGACAGATTCGACAGAAGCAACAATTTAATCATAATTCAAATAATGTTATACTCACGGCCAGTCATGACTTCGCTGTGAAGGAAAGGGCGAACTCTGCAGTATACACGGATATTACCCTTCAGCTCCTAGAATAGTGGTAATGTGAGGGGGGGGGGGGGATGTGAAGGGGGGGGGGGGGGGGGGGGGGGGGGATGTGAAGCTACAACATTTCAGGTTCCTCTAACACAGAATTTCCGTTTCATATCTTTAGCAATTGCATATTTTATATCTCAATTGTGAGGGTAGTAGATCCAGTGATCGAAATTTAATCGAAATGTTAATACCTGAATAGTGTTATGAATTAGTGAGGTGACATGTTTATTGTTTATGGTACATGTTAATACCTGAATAGTGTTATGAATTAGTGAGGTGACATGTTTATTGTTTATGGTACATGTTAATACCTGAATAGTGTTATGAATTAGTGAGGTGACATGTTTATTGTTTATGGTACATATTAATACCTGAATAGTGTTATGAATTAGTGAGGTGACATGTTTATTGTTTATGGTACATGTTAATACCTGAATAGTGTTATGTATTAGTGAGGTCATATGTTTATTGTTTATGGTACATGTTAATACCTGAATAGTGTTATGAATTAGTGAGGTGACATGTTTATTGTTTATGGTACATGTTAATACCTGAATAGTGTTATGTATTAGTGAGGTCATATGTTTATTGTTTATGGTACATGTTAATACCTGAATAGTGTTATGAATTAGTGAGGTGACATGTTTATTGTTTATGGTACATGTTAATACCTGAATAGTGTTATGAATTAGTGAGGTGACATGTTTATTGTTTATGGTACATGTTAATACCTGAATAGTGTTATGAATTAGTGAGGTGACATGTTTATTGTTTATGGTACATGTTAATACCTGAATAGTGTTATGAATTAGTGAGGTCACATGTTTATTGTTTATGGTACATGTTAATACCTGAATAGTGTTATGAATTAGTGAGGTGACATGTTTATTGTTTATGGTACATGTTAATACCTGAATAGTGTTATGAAGTTTCCTCCTGAGTAGTTCCCCTGCTTGTAATCTCTCAGTGCACACTGTTAGTTTCTGTTCTAGTTCGCTGATCTGACTTTCTCTATCTGACAGCACTCTGTTTATATCTGTAACATTACATTGTTCAAAACATTGTTCAAAACATTGTTCAAAACATTGTTCAAAACATTTTCATAACATTGTTCAAAACATGTTCATAAAATTGTTCAAAACATGTTCATAACATTGTTCAAAACATGTTCATAACATTGTTCAAAACATGTTCATAACATTGCTTCTTATACGTCATATTATGTTCAAAATATTTTCATAACATTGCTTCTTATACGTCATATTATGTTCAAAACATGTTCATAACATTGTTTCTTATATATCTTCATAACATTGTTAAATTCAACTGTTGATAATGACGTTAATAACAAAAAACTTGCAGAATGCAGGTGAAATAAATTTTAAATGTCAACATGTTTTTTAAAAGTAACATTTTGAAAGTTTAATGATTAAAAAGTAGTGTTTTTTTGGGTCAAGTTAAAATGAGCCTGCCCAGTACAAATAGAATACCTCTGTCAAGTTAAAATGAGCCTGCCCAGTACAAATAGAATACCTCTGTCAAGTTAAAATGAGCCTGCCCAGTACAAATAGAATACCTCTGTGAGCCTGCCCAGTACAAATAGAATACCTCTGTGAGCCTGCCCAGTACAAATAGAATACCCCTGTGAGCCTGCCCAGTAAAAATAGAATACCCCTGTGAGCCTGCCCAGTACAAATAGAATACCCCTGTGAGCCTGCCCAGTACAAATATAATACCTCTGTGAGCCTGCCCAGTACAAATAGAATACCCCTGTGAGCCTGCCCAGTACAAATAGAATACCTCTGTGAGCCTGCCCAGTACAAATAGAATACCTCTGTGAGCCTGCCCAGTACAAATAGAATACCCCTGTGAGCCTGCCCAGTACAAATAGAATACCCCTGTGAGCCTGCCCAGTACAAATAGAATACCCCTGTGAGCCTGCCCAGTACAAATAGAATACCCCTGTGAGCCTGCCCAGTAAAATAGAATACCCCTGTGAGCCTGCCCAGTACAAATATAATACCTCTGTGAGCCTGCCCAGTACAAATAGAATACCTCTGTGAGCCTGCCCAGTACAAATAGAATACCCCTTGAGCCTGCCCAGTAAAAATAGAATACCCCTGTGAGCCTGCCCAGTACAAATAGAATACCCCTGTGAGCCTGCCCAGTACAAATAGAATACCCCTGTGAGCCTGCCCAGTACAAATAGAATACCTCTGTGAGCCTGCCCAGTACAAATAGAATACGGGGGGGGGGGGGGGGGGGGGGGGGGGGGGGGGGGGGGGGGATCATGTTATTTTTTGTCCGTTTTTGTCCGTTTTTGTCCGTTAATTTTTGTCCGTTTTGAAAATATAGCTGCCAAACGGACAAAAACGGACAAAAACGGACAAAAACGGACAAAAATTTTAACTTTTGATTTAAATTTTCTCCACAATTTGTAACAGGCTATCTGCAGAAATGGGTAGCCCGGTTAATGACCATGGTCCTTTCTCAAACTTTTAATCTTCAATTAGGCACAAAGAATACCTAGTCTACACATTTTTTAATAACATAAAAAGGGATGAAAAGTTTTATTACTGGAGAGTAAAACTTTGTTAAACACAAAGATTCTTGAGCACATTTTGAGTCAGACTCAAATGCGCTTAAAAACATTTTAGTATATAACAATAAATTATGTTAACAATAACACCAACAATAATTATAAATTGAACAAATTATTGAGAGATGAAAGAGAGGAAAAGGAGGAGGGGGGACTGAGGAGGGGGACTGAGGAGGGAGAGGAGGGGGGCTGAGGAGGAGTGAGACTGAGAAGGAGAACTGAGGAGGAGGAATCAATAGGAGGAGGAGAAGAAGGACTCAAGAGGAGGAGGACCCAAGAGGAGGAGGACTAGGAAAAGGCCCCATGAGGAGGACTGGGGAGGAGGAGGACCGATGAGGACTGATGAGGACTGATAAAGAGGACTAAGGACGAGGAGGAGGAGGAGGAGGAGAAGGACTGGGGAGGAGGAGGACGGATGAGGACTGATGAGGACTGATAAATAGGACTAAGGACGAGGAGGAGGAGGAGGAGGAGGAGGAGGACTGGTGAGGAGAAGGAGGTGTATGAGGAGGATGAGGAGGAGAAAGGAGATAAAGGATGAGGATAAGGAGGACTGAGGAGGAGGACTGGTGAAGAGGACTGATGAGGAGGAGGACTGAGAAGGGGAGGACTTAGGAGGACTGAGGAGGGGAGGACTTAGGAGGAAGAGGAGGATTGAGCAGGAGGAGGACTGAGGAGTAGAAGGAGGAAGAAGACTGAGGAGGATCAGGAGGACCCAGGAAGAGGAGGAAGAGGAGGAGGACTGAGGAGGAGAAGGAGGACCCAAGAGGAGGAACCAGGAAGAAGAGGAGGAGGATGACTGAGAAGGAGGAGTGAGACTGAGAAGGAGACTGAGGAGGAGGAATGAATAGGAGGAGGAGGAGAAGAAGGGACTCAAGAGGAGGACTGAGGAGGAGGAGGACTAAGGAGAAGGATGAGGAGGAGGACCCAAGAGGAGGAGGACCCAAGAGTAGGAGGACCCAGGAGGAGGACCCAGGAAAAGGCCCCAAAAGGAGGACTGGGGAGGAGGAGGACTGATGAGGACTGATGAGGACTGATAAAGAGGACTAAGGACGAGGAGGAGGAGGAGTGAGGAGGAGGACTGATGAGGAGGAGGTGTACGAGGAGGATGAGGAGGAGAAAGGAGATGAAGGAAGGAGATGAAGGATGAGGATAAGGAGGACTGAGGAGGAGGACTGGTGAAGAGGACTGATGAGGAGGAGGACTGAGAATGGGAGGGACTTAGGAGGACTGAGGAGGGGAGGACTTAGGAGGAAGAGGAGGATTGAGGAGGAGGAGGACTGAGGAGTAGAAGGAGAAAGAAGACTGAGGAGGGTCAGGAGGACCCAGGAAGAGGAGGAGGACTGAGGAGGAGAAGGAGGACCCAGGAGGAGGAACCAGGAAGAAGAGGAGGAGGAGGACTGAGAAGGAGGACTGAGAAGGAGAAGGAGGACTGATGAGGAGGATGAGGATGAGGATGAGGAGGAGGGTGACTGGGGAAAGGATTGAGGAGGAGGAAGACTGAGGAGGAGGAAGAGGAGAAGGACTGAGGAGAAGGAAGAGGAGGAGAAGGACTGAGGAGAAGGAAGAGGAAGAGGACTGAGGAGGAGGACCCAGGAGGAGGAGGACACAGGAAAAGGCCCCAAGAGGAGGAGGATGACTTGGAGGAGGAGGACTGATGAGGACTGATGAGGAGGAGAAGTAAGTGGATGAAGAGGATGAGGAGGACTGAGGAGGAGGACTGGTGAGCAGAAGGAGGAGGACCCAGGAGGAGAAGGAGGAGGAGGAGGATAACAGAGGAGGAGGAGAAGGACTGAGGAGGAGAAGAGGGATCCAGGAGGAGAACCCAGGAGGAGGAGGAGGAGGACTGAGGAGGAGGACTAAGGAGAAGGAGGACTGATGAGGAGGATGAGGAGGAGGGTGACTGGGGAAAGGACTGAGAAGGACTGAGGAGGAGAATGCGGACTGAGGAGGAGGAACCAGGAAAAGGAGGAGGAGGACTGAAGAGGAGGACTGAGAAGGCGAAGGAGGACTGATGAGGAGGATGAGGATGAGGAGGAGGGTGACTGGGGGAGGACTGAGGAGGAGGGTGACTGGGGGAGGACTGAGGAATATGAGGAAGACTGAGGAGGCGGAGGAAGAGGAGAAGGACTGAGGAGGAGAAGGACTGAGGAGGATGACTGAGGAGGAGGAGGACTGAGGAGGAGGAGGAGGACTGAGAAGGAGGAGGACTGAGGAGGAGGAGGACTGAGGAGGAGGAGGAGGAGGAGGAGGAGGAGGAGGAGGAGTGAATAGAAGGAGGAGGGGACTGGGCAGGACTGAGGAGGAGGACTGAGGAAAAGGATGAGGAGGAGGACTGAGAAGGAGGACTGAGCTGAGGAGGAGAACTGAGGACTGAGGAGGAAGAGGAGGAGGATGAAGAGGAGGTGGACCCAAGAGGAGGAGGTCCCAGGAGGAGGACCCAGGAGGAGGACTCAGGAGGAGGAGGAGGATGACTGAGGAAGACTGAGGAGGAGGAGGAAGCATCTAAATATTATTTCCATTTTTGTTATTTTTTGTCCGTTTTTGTCCGCTCTATTTTTTGTCCGTTTTGATAATATAGGGTTCCGAACGGAAAAAACGGATAAAAAACAGGATCCCCCCTGGAGGAGGAGGAGGAGGAGGAGGAGAAGGATGACTGAGGAGGAGGACTGAGGAGGACTGAGAAGGAGGAGGACTGAGGAGTACTGAGGAGGATCGCTGAAGAGGATGGCTGAGGAGGATGGCTGAGGAGGATGACTGAGGAGGATGACTGAGAGGGAGGAGGAGGAGGACTGAGAAGGAGGAGGAGAAAGAGGACCCAGGAGGAGGACTCAGGAGAAAGAGGAGGAGGAGGACTCAGAAGGAGGAATGAGGAGGACTCAGAAGGAGGAATGAGAAGGAGGAGGAGAAAGAGGACCCAGGAGGAGGACTCAGGAGAAAGAGGAGGAGGAGGACTCAGAAGGAGGAATGAGGAGGACTCAGAAGGAGGAATGAGAAGGAGGAGAACTGAGGAGGAGGAGGAGGAGGACTGAGGAGAAGGACAGAGGACTGAGGAGGAAGAGGAGGAGGATGAAGAGGAGGAGGAGGACCCAGGAGGAGGAGGACTGAGGAGGATGATGAGGATTGCAGAGGAGGAGGACTGAGGAGGACTGAGGAGGGACTGAGGAGGATGGCTGAGGAGGATGGCTGAGGAGGAGGAGGAGGAGGAGGAGGAGGAGGAGGAGGAGGAGGAGGAGGAGGAGGAGGAGGAGGAGGAGGAGGAAGCATCTAAATGTTATTTCAATTTTTGTTATTTTTTGTCCGTTTTTGTCCGTTTTTGTCCGTTTTTGTCCGCTTTATTTTTTGTCCGTTTTGAAAATACAGCTGCCAAACGGACAAAAACGGACAAAAAAACATGAGCCCCCCCCCCAGAATACCCCTGTGAGCCTGCCCAGTACAAATAGAATACCCCTGTGAGCCTGCCCAGTAAAAATAGAATACCCCTGTGAGCCTGCCCAGTACAAATATAATACCTCTGTGAGCCTGCCCAGTACAAATATAATACCTCTGTGAGCCTGCCCAGTACAAATATAATACCTCTGTGAGCCTGCCCAGTACAAATAGAATACCTCTGTGAGCCTGCCCAGTACAAATAGAATACCTCTGTGAGCCTGCCCAGTACAAATAGAATACCTCTGTGAGCCTGCCCAGTACAAATATAATACCTCTGTGAGCCTGCCCAGTACAAATAGAATACCTCTGTGAGCCTGCCCAGTACAAATATAATACCTCTGTGAGCCTGCCCAGTACAAATAGAATACCTCTGTGAGCCTGCCCAGTACAAATAGAATACCTCTGTGAGCCTGCCCAGTACAAATAGAATACCTCTGTGAGCCTGCCCAGTACAAATATAATACCTCTGTGAGCCTGCCCAGTACAAATAGAATATCTCTGTGAGCCTGCCCAGTACAAATAGAATACCTCTGTGAGCCTGCCCAGTACAAATAGAATACCTCTGTGAGCCTGCCCAGTACAAATAGAATACCTCTGTGAGCCTGCCCAGTACAAATAGAATACCTCTGTGAGCCTGCCCAGTACAAATATAATACCTCTGTGAGCCTGCCCAGTACAAATAGAATGCCTCTGTGAGCCTGCCCAGTACAAATATAATACCTCTGTGAGCCTGCCCAGTACAAATAGAATACCTCTGTGAGCCTGCCCAGTACAAATAGAATACCTCTGTGAGCCTGCCCAGTACAAATAGAATACCTCTGTGAGCCTGCCCAGTACAAATATAATACCTCTGTGAGCCTGCCCAGTACAAATAGAATATCTCTGTGAGCCTGCCCAGTACAAATAGAATACCTCTGTGAGCCTGCCCAGTACAAATAGAATACCTCTGTGAGCCTGCCCAGTACAAATAGAATACCTCTGTGAGCCTGCCCAGTACAAATATAATACCTCTGTGATTGCGCTGCTCCTTGGAGAGGTTCCCTTCTAATTTATCTATACTGCTATTCTTCTCGCTAACAGTATCACCCAATTCCTTGATGTTCTGCTCCAAAGAAGCAATCTGAAGGGGTCAACTGTTATTGTTGGGTTTAGTAAGATTAAAGTAGAGGCAAGATAAGGTGTTAGTAGGATTAAAGTACAGGCAAGATAAGGTGTTAGTAGGATTAAAGTACAGGCAAGATAAGGTGTTAGTAGGATTAAAGTACAGGCAAGATAAGGTGTTAATAGGATTAAAGTACATGCAAGATAAGGTGTTAGTAGGATTAAAGTACAGGCAAGATAAGGTGTTAGTAGGATTAAAGTAGAGGCAAGATAAGGTGTTAGTAGGATTAAAGTAGAGGCAAGATAATGTGTTAGTAGGATTAAAGTAGAGGCAAGATAAGGTGTTAGTAGGATTAAAGTACAGGCAAGATAAGGTATTAGTAGGATTGAAGTACAGGCAAGATAAGGTGTTAGTAGGATAAAAGTAGAGGCAAGATAAGGTGTTAGTAGGATTAAAGTAGAGGCAAGATAAGGTGTTAGTAAGATTAAAGTACAGGCAAGATAAGGTGTTAGTAGGATTAAAGTACATGCAAGATAAGGTGTTAGTAGGATTAAAGTACATGCAAGATAAGGTGTTAGTAGGATTAAAGTACATGCAAGATAAGGTGTTAGTAGGATTAAAGTACATGCAAGATAAGGTGTTAGTAGGATTAAAGTACATGCAAGATAAAGGACCACATTCTTCTCTCAGGGATGAATATGTCACATCTCACTAGAGAAGTTAAACTGTACATGTATTGAAACTAGGAATGTGATGTTGCACCTGGTATGTACCAGTTTAATTACCGATGAGTTAATAGTATTTAATATAGTAAATATAAAATAGTATTTAATAAGAGTTTCACTAACATTAGTATCCAGTTGCTCTATATGTTGTTCCTTCCTCCGCAGTATATTGTGCACATCCCCCTTCTCTCCCCTCTCTTTCTCTAGGGTCCTCTCAATGTCACATATCTTGTTGTCTCTACTGGCTATTGTACAGTTTAGCTTCTTTATCTCCTCATTCAGTTCCTCTATCTGGGGAGATGTTACTATCACAATGCTGTCAAACAATAAGCATGACCGTGCCTCTTATACATATTATGAAACCATTAAAATACATCTCGATTCTCGGCTATACTCTCGGCGATACCCCGGCTAGGTTCCTAGTAAAAGTTAAACACTTTGATAGAAATCATGCAGACGTGATTAAATACCAGAATTATCAGACTTAATTTGATGAGAGTAAATTTATATAAAATATCTTGAGACAATACTGAGCAGGGTTACGGAAAATTCCTTACTAGATAATGGATATTATGGAAGCTACCGGTGAACTCATTGGTTAGGAAATCCAGTAATAAGTAGAATATGCAGCAAGGTTGGTGGTACAAGAAGTAAAGATTTAAAATACCTCAATTGTAAGTAGTAGTGGTAACTTAGTAATTGCAAAGGCTTCCTTGCAAAACGGAAGGAACAATAACCGAAGTGGACGGATTATGTGATCAGCTAGGTGGTACAAAGGTATGTAGTTACCAAGTCAGGCTGTGAGAGATGTTGCGACATATGATTTTCATTTCCAATTTTAACGTCTAATCCCATAATATACATAATAAGTCAGTGCACGTTCATTGGGTCCTATAATATAGCCTAGTTTCATATTGAGACCTGCAACTTTGCAGATGATATACTGTATCTACTCATTCGAGGATTCAGAGGCCCCACCCAGGTTCTAGGTCCTAGGTTTTTATCAGTCGAGATATCTGATTAATTAAACTTGCTACTTGCTAGTTGGGGAATTGTGAATAAAGTCTGGGAACAAATTTGCCACAAGCATTTCTCTGCGGGAATGCAGAATTTACAATTTTTTTAAAGATTTCACTCTCAAACTTTTGCAAAGGGGGGGGGGGGGGGGGGGGGGGGGGGGGGGGCAGGGGGGCTTTTTTCAAAGCATATCAATCATACCTTCTCATTGAGTTGTCCTTCACGTTTCTTGCTCTTAACCAGCTCTTCCTCCGCCTCCTCCCTAAAATTGTTAGCTCTCCTCAAATCTCTCTCTAAATCATCTGCTCTGTTCTCTGCCTCCCTCATCTTAGACTTCGTACGGGAGAAATCTTCTTCCAGTTCATCACGCTGCACGTATATTCATTAGTTAACGACAATAACATCTAACATCAAAGTAGTTTATAGTCACAACAAAGTAAGGTAACCAGGTAACCAGGTAACCAGGTAACCAGGTAACCAGGTAACCAGGTAACCAGGTAGTTTATATTATTCCCACCTCGCGCTTTATCCGCTCATAAGATGACACCTTCTCGTTCCTCTCAATAATAGCCTCGTCTAACTTGAAGGTTTGCTCGTGACACTTAGTGTTTATCTCAGTTAGCTGCACTGTTGTCGTGCTCAAATCCTCTTTCAACTGCACGTTCTGTAGGGTACGTTACTTTAACTAAATATAAGTCAGTAAATCTACAACAGAAACCATATCTAATCTCTACAAGGATCTCCAGTCATTTCAATTTTTAATGAAACTTGGCACCATAACCAATGAAAATATGGTAGATATTGGAATATTAATTAAATTACTCGATTTGTTGTTTTCTTGTTTCGGTAGCTGGATAAACTATACACTGGCACTTTATAATTTAACTGTTAAATGCTAAAAACACTACCTCTATTTTTAACATGTACTTTATAATTTAACTGTTAAATGCTAAAAACACTACCTCTATTTTTACCATGTACTTTATAATTTAACTGTTAAATGCTAAAAACACTACCTCTATTTTTAACATGTACTTTATAATTTAACTGTTAAATGCTAAAAACACTACCTCTATTTTTAACATGTACTTTATAATTTAACTGTTAAATGCTAAAAACACTACCTCTATTTTTAACATGTACTTTATAATTTAACTGTTAAATGCTAAAAACACTACCTCTATTTTTAACATGTACTTTATAATTTAACTGTTAAAAGCTATAAACACTACCTCTATTTTTAACATGTCCAGGTCCCCAGTCTTCTGATTCACATCATCCTCCAACTCTACCAGCTTCTCCTCCATACTCCCCCTCTCTTCTTTCAGAGAGTTGTACAGACTTGTCACGTCTTCAAGTCGGCCTGGATAGAGAATGTTACTAGCAATGTTACTAGCAAGGAACTGTTGCTATTATTTATATCACTAGCAGTTATGTTGCTAATATTAAAAGGGGCGACACTTGTCCCCCCCCCCCCCCCGGCCCCACACCTACCTTTAATATCCCAGGCTGCACGCTTCTTCTTGCCACTAGCAGCTGGACCTCCCTTGGTAGAGTTTCCTTTGGATACAGAAGTAGAGTTTCCTGTTTCTTTAGCTTTCCTGATAGCAGAACCACCAACTTTAGGGATGTAGTCCTTATCACGTCTAATTACAGGAGTAGCTGGAGAAGGAGTTATAACTAATTAACTAATTAACTAATTAACTAATTAACTAATTAACTATTTAACTAATTAACTAATTAATAACTAATTATAGTATAATTATTAGTAATATTTACTGGGTATGTAGAGGGGAGATGTAACTAATTGTAAACATTTAAAATTATAACATTTACAAACTGAAAATTGTTTGCATAGCAAACAATTCGCGAATTTTTGCTTCCATAAAAACTCGAAAATCTATTCCTCACGAAAATTAATGCTTTTACTTTTTCTTCTCTCATTCAATCATTCTCCTTGGAAACAAGTCATCATTGCAGTTTCAAGGTGCCATCAAATTTAGCAATATTTAATTAATCAGACTAATAGGCGATTCATACTCTAACCTAAAACGTTACTCTACTGGGGACTCTACTCTAAAGTTACTCTACTCTAACTTTACTCTACTCTAACGTTACTCTACTCTAACGTTACTCTACTCTAACGTTACTCTACTCTAACGTTACTCTACTCTAACGTTACTCTACTCTAACGTTACTCTACTCTAACGTTACTCTACTCTAACGTAACTCTACTCTAACGTTACTCTACTCTAACGTTACTCTACTCTAACGTTACTCTACTCTAACGTTACTCTACTCTAACGTAACTCTACTCTAACGTTACTCTACTCTAACGTTACTCTACTCTAACGTTACTCTACTCTAACGTTACTCTACTCTAAAGTTACTCTACTCTAACGTTACTCTACTCTAACGTTACTCTACTCTAACGTTACTCTACTCTAACGTAACTCTACTCTAACGTTATTCTACTCTAACGTTACTCTACTCTAACGTTACTCTACTCTAACGTTACTCTACTCTAACGTAACTCTACTCTAACGTTACTCTACTCTAACGTTACTCTACTCTAACGTAACTCTACTCTAACGTTACTCTACTCTAACGTTACTCTACTCTAACGTTACTCTACTCTAACGTTACTCTACTCTAACGTTACTCTACTCTAACGTTACTCTACTCTAACGTTACTCTACTCTAACGTTACTCTACTCTAACGTTACTCTACTCTAACGTTACTCTACTCTAACGTTACTCTACTCTAACGTTACTCTACTCTAACGTTACTCTACTCTAACGTTACTCTACTCTAACGTTACTCTACTCTAACGTTACTCTACTCTAACGTTACTCTACTCTAACGTTACTCTACTCTAACGTTACTCTACTCTAACGTTACTCTACTCTAACGTTACTCTACTCTAACGTTACTCTACTCTAACGTTACTCTACTCTAACGTTACTCTACTCTAACGTTACTCTACTCTAACGTTACTCTACTCTAACGTTACTCTACTCTAACGTTACTCTACTCTAACGTTACTCTACTCTAACGTTACTCTACTCTAACGTTACTCTACTCTAACGTTACTCTACTCTAACGTTACTCTACTCTAACGTTACTCTACTCTAACGTTACTCTACTCTAACGTTACTCTACTCTAACGTTACTCTACTCTAACGTTACTCTACTCTAACGTTACTCTACTCTAACGTTACTCTACTCTAACGTTACTCTACTCTAACGTTACTCTACTCTAAAGTTACTCTACTCTAACGTTACTCTACTCTAACGTTACTCTACTCTAACGTTACTCTACTCTAACGTTACTCTACTCTAACGTAACTCTACTCTAACGTTACTCTACTCTAACGTTACTCTAATCTAACGTTACTCTACTCTAACGTTACTCTACTCTAACGTTACTCTACTCTAACGTTATCCACTGTAATTACTTGTTATGTTAATAACCTAAGTTACCAGTTTACCCCTCAATTATGAATTAACTCACGTTGGCCACGTACGCTGCGTATGCTTCTCTTCGTTGCTAAACGAATGCTTCTCCTCATCCTATTCCGTGTTGTATTCAAGTCTGAAAAGGGATCTTCATTTGGTTCGCTTAATTGATTTTAAATTTATTTAAGTAATTGAAATTCATCATCAACTTTGCTATATAAGTTGTTGCACCCCCCCTCCCCCACCTCCGGCCCTCCCCTCCCCTACCTCCGGCCCCCCCCCCCCACTCCGTTCTTCAGTTAACTGGTTTATTTTATTCCTATGTCCAGTAATAGTTAGTCTGACTGAGCCCACGCTACTAGACTGTTAACCAGATAAACCAATGTGCTGAAACGGCCAGGTGAATACAGTTTTTAATTAATTATGTTACGTTTTCCTAGACTACATGTCATATTTATATTCAACACTCAGAAGTAACACCTTCCTGACCACCAGTTTCGGCATCAAATTTAATACCTGCTATTATAGATGTGGATACTGGCGGGGAGGTGATCATTGTTTGTTTACATTAATAGGGAACACATGTTCAGGAGGCTGAGGAGGTGATCATTGTTTGTTTACATTTTAGGTGGAACACATGTTCAGGAGGCTGAGGAGGTGTTACATATTTTTTATTATAGAAGGCTTGTAACACATGTAACGCCTTCTTGTTACCCCCCTTTGAGGACCCCGAATTATTTTCTGAACGAAAGCTCAAAAATAACCGAGAAATCGACCTTCTTATTAACTCATTTTGATGACCGTTTCTAACCTAAAACTGCACGAAAAATCGATTTAGCTAGGTTTCAGAACCTATAAACACTTCCTTATCCCTCAAAATCGATGTTTTATAGTTTAGAATGCAAGCAACAAGCAACATATATTTTGATCCTTCGGTTCTACAGCTCTTGACCTAGGGCTGAAACCGAAAGATCGAGGCAATCCTAACCTTAACTGATCGAACTTGAGCGAAGAGCAGAGTTCGACAAAACACAGCAGGTAAGCAACTCATTTTTGTGACTGTTCCTCACCTGTACAACGTTGCACGAGAAATCGATTAAAATTGGTTTTACAGCCCAATAACGCTTCCCTTTTTCCTCAAAATTGTTGTGTTACTCAAACAAAGAACATGTTGATTCTGCAACGAAAGAACAAGGAGATTGTCTCATTAACAACTCAAACAGGTTCTATCACAATTTTCAGAGCAGAGCACGATATAGCAAAAGTCAAAAGAAACAAGTAAAGGTATATAACAATCATTTAAATAACAACTGAATTATATTTATTCGGACAACGGGCAGCCCTGATGTGCTCCGCGTCCGTGATTTCGACCAATTGTATTAGAGGTGTTCTGTCACGTGACGCTGATTCGTCCAATCACAACAGGAAGAGTGAGCAGAGGGACATTATATCGTATGTTTACATTTCTTATCTGTATTTGACCCTTTGTTCACATTGTTATCTCTGCCACAGGTTGGCAATTTCAAGGTGCTCTTATCTGCAGACTGCACCTCGGTACACACGCCATGATTACGTCATACAGAACTAGAAATTGTGTGAACCGTGATCATTACAATGAAACCGTGCCCACTGCCCATGTACAATGCAAACTGTTGGGGGGGGGGGGGGGGGGGGATGGGTTGGGGGTTGTTTACGATAGTCAAACAATCTTGATAGTGTGTCAAGGTCTCTCCTCCAACTAAGAATAATAACATGATTTTTTCCTTTTCACCCTTTTGAAAAAAGGCAATAGTGAAAGGTTACGAATGGACGTTTTTGCAGAAAAACGTGGATTTTGGAGATAGCAGTAGGTGGGTCTGAACATGTCGTCGGTACGTACTTCCGTATGTTACCATGCAACGAAAAAGTTGCGCGCGCGAGGATTACTTGCGGAGATGTGATGTATAAATAGCCTGTGATCTATGAATGCGCGGCGCGACTGTGTTGTTTAATGTAGACGATGTAATGTATAATATTAGGTTATAAGCCCAATTTGTACGTGGCACGCGTAGTGTACTGATGTTTCAATATTATTATTATAAGGTAAAGGAGAGCTGATTAGAGCTTATATTACCCCTAAGTTCCATGCCCGAATTTTCACTCAAATTTTTCACCCGAATAAAATTTGCCCGAATTTTTAACCCACATTTTTCGCTTCGACTGAAATATTCGGGCTAAAAAAATTCGTGAACTTGCGCACGAATTTTTTAAATTTCACTCAAATAATATAGTCGCTGCGGTTGTAATCAATACTATAATTGCATTTCGTTGTCCTAAATGTTTCCGGGATTACCTAACGCATATCATCATAACACTAATGATAACAACGCTATTACACTACACATCGATTACACGATTAGCCATTTTATTGAGGAGCTGCAGTGAGTCATTTTCGGGTTCCCAAGAACCAATGTTTTATTATCTGATATTTAGGACGACTGAGGAGAACTGAGGAGGATGACTGAGGAGGACTGAGGAAGAGGAGGAGGAGGACTGAGAAGAAGGGGGAGGAGGAAGAGGACTAAGGACGAGTAGGACTGAGGAGGAGGAGGACTGAGGATGAGGAGGACTTAGGAGGAGAAGGACTCAGGAGAAGGAAGACTCAGGAGGAGGACGAGGACTCAGGAGGAGGACGAGGACGAGGAGGACAAGGAGGACTGAGAAGGAGGACGAAGGACGAGGAGGACTGAGAAGGAGGAGGAGGAGGACTAAGGACGAGGAGGACTGAGGAGGAGGAGGAGGAGGACTGAGGAGGACTGAGGAGGACTGAGGAAGAGGAGGAGGAAGCATCTAAATGTTATTTCCACAACATTCTTGTCTGTTTTTGTTCCGTTCTTGTCCGCCCTACTTTTTGTCCGTTTTGAAAATATAGGGTACCGAACGGACAAAAACGGACACAAAACATGATCCCCTCCCCAGTCCTTATATCTTTATATTAATTTAAGTTGGTCAAACATGTTAATTGCGAAGGAATTATTCTTGACTATGAAAGTTCAAACAACTTAATTTAGATATGTCAACCCTATTTTCTTAAATTTACACAAAAAAGTTTATAGAAAATATATGAAGGACACTAATTTGCTTTGCACATTGGTTGTTACACTAGTTTACGTGATGTTAACGTAATTTTCATCCTAATTTAAACTTAGGTGGTCGCAGTCTCGATCCCACCCGACGCAACCGATACGCGTATCGATTTCCGCACGCAAATTATTTGGGCATGGAACATGTCACCCGAATAAATTTTTTTCACAAATAAAATTTGCCCGAATTATTTTACCGTATTATTTGGCCATGGAACTAAGGGGTTAATAGTTATAGTGAAATGGAAATCTAGCGTCCGCCAAAACGAAACAACGGGCGCAATTCTTGTTTAGTTATAGTATGTCTAGGCTGAACTGCGGAGATAAGTACAGTTTGCTGTAATATGTACAGTTTGCTGTAATATGTGGTCGCGATTATCAACTCAGTGGAATTTCAAATGATGAACTGTGCTTTAAGTTTACACCAACTGGAACCAAAAGAATATACCCATGAGTGCTCCCTAACTTAACTTGGACGGTAAGTGTTTGACAATAAAAACTAGGACACGAATTCTCTGACAAGAAATGTTAGCAGGTTTAAATAAAATATACCTGCAGTTAGCAGGTTTAAATAAGATATACCTGCAGTTAGCATGTTTAAATAAGATATACCTGCAGTTAGCAGGTTTAAATAAAATATACCTGCAGTTAGCAGGTTTAAATAAAATATACCTCCAACTGACTGTGGTGCTTATCGTCCAGTCAGGAACAGAATAATAACATAATTTTTTATTTATTCAAGTAGCCCTGGTCATTTTTAAAAAATCGTTGTCCACCTCCCTTAAAAAAACAGGGTTCAAATTGACCAGTTGGGCACACACGAATGCGATGTCGCTCAGATAAGGCAACATCTTCGCCACAACTTTGTTTCCCAAAATCTTGTACCGCTTCAGATAGCCAATAGAGCGTTCCACGTGGATGCGGGCGATGCTGACTTTCCTGCTGGCTGCTACTTCTTCCGGCGTGAACTGAGTCTTGCCCCACATCCCCGCTGGGATGTTTAGTGTAACTCCTGAAATTTAATTCGCTTTTTATTCCGCTTATTCTTAACTAACCGGACGATGATTAATCACTCTACACACAACTAGACTGTTACGTGACGTTTCAACACGTTTTCTAGCTGGCTCTGAAACCTTATCCACCCAGAATGACCCTAACCCTAACACAAACCCGATTTCTAACTTAAGCGTATGCTGAAACCTTAACGAGAAATTAGAAACCATAGGTCATAGCACGTTATCTCGCGAGAGGAGCATCATTTGGGTGATTCGCAATCAGCATACATGATACAAAATATAAATACTACGATTTAAGTTGGTTTTAACTGTTAGTGTTATAGGGGCCCGTTCAGAAAAATCTCATATTTCGAGTGTAGCACGGTTGGAACTAACCTTCGGGCAAAATGTCGTGAATGAGGAACCCCTTGTCAGCCATCACGTTGTCACCAACAGTCACCTTCTGCAGTATGGCACTATCCACTACAATTTCCTTATCGGTTGTGCCACCAGGGTAACAGCGGCTGACATACGTGATTACCCCACTGGGCGCAATTCCGATTAGTAACTTGACTGTGTGCGTAGCTGGAGATGGAACAGAATGATTATGCAGGGGAAATTGTATGAGGTACGAAAGCAGAAGATCTGTAATTTACGTTGCAAGTTCAGCATTACTGAAAGGTATGATCTTCTGAACTTACACTTATAATGGCTGTAACATTTGGCGCTCGACTCAATGTTGGACGGAGCTTCAATTGGGACCTGTGGATTGTAGGAACTTTCAATTGCTACAACTGCAATAACAAAATGAAATTTTGAACATCACAATTCGCACCCCGCCGTAATTGTACTGCTGTAGAGAACACCAATTCACTGGTCACGTTTAAAGTGAAATGTTGTGTCAATTTATCTATTGTGACTGTTGTAATTCTGTCTGAGCTCTAAAGTTATAGCCGCTCATTCGATTCTGGTAATGGACTCAAATCATACCTCGGTACAGTCAATCACGATCCTAGTGT